CAAGATCTCAGCCTAGATAAGTAGGTCCGAGAAGACAAGAGCTCAGCCTAAGTGAGCAGATCCCAGATTCCAGATCTCGAATCCCGGATCCCAGATCCTAGAAGACAAGATCTCGGCCTAGATGATTAGGTCCGAGAAGACAAAAGCTCAACCTAAGCAAGCAAATCCCGGATTCCAGATCCTAGAAGACAAGATCTATTCCTAGATGATTAGGTCCAAGAAGACAAGAGCTCAGCCTAAGTGAGCAGATCTTGGATTCCAGATCTCAGATCCCAAATCCTAGAAGATAAGATCTCGACCTAGATGAGTAGGTCCTAAAAGACAAGAGCTCAGTCTAAGTGAGCAGATCCCGGATTCTAGATTCCAGATCCCAAATCCCAGAAGACAGGATGTCGGCCTAGATGAGTAGGTCCGAGAAAACAAGATCTCGGCCTGGATGATTAGGTCCAAGAAGACAAGAGCTCAGCCTAAGTGAGTAGATCTCGGATCCTAGATCCCAAAAGATAAGATTTTCGCCTAGATAAATAGTCCGAGAAGACAAGAGCTCAACCTAAATGAGCAGATCCCAAATCCCATAAGACAAAAAAGAAGCACACAAGATCAGACTGAAGTCGGCCAGGTTCTGCCTGTCAGTAGAAGGCCATCTACACAGAAGGACTTTTACTGGACCTCTATTGCGATGTGCACATCCTTCCCAGGTTGAAGACTTTTTACACGAGATCTATGCAGGGGGCAGATCCCTTGCCCACAGAGCTATATCATAGGGATTTTGGTGGCCTTACATGCAAAAGAATGTCAAAGCCTATATAAAAAAGCATGAAAATATTATTGGAATCCATGACTGTGCGATAAGACCGAAATGTCTTATGGCGATGTTCCCATGGTGAACGTGACGAGCAACTTAGACTTATTATATGGTAGAGTCAAATTATACTTGCATATGATAGAGTTGAACTAAGTTGACAATGTTTTTGAATAAAACATGACAAATAACTTAAACTTATTATATGGCAGAGTTGAATTATACTTGCATATAATAGAGTTGAACTAAGTTGGCGATGTTTCTGAATGAAACATGACGAATAACTTAGACTTATTATATGGTAGAGTCGAATTATACTTGCATATGATAGAGTTGAACTAAGTTGGCGATGTTTCTAAATGAAACCTGACGAATAACTTAGACTTATTATATGGCAGAGTTGAATTATACTTGCATATGATAGAGTTGAATTAAGTTGGCGATGTTTTTGAATGAAACATGACGAATAAATTAGACTTATTATATGACAGAGTTGAATTATACTTGCATAATAGAGTTGAACTAAGTTGGCGATATTTCTGAATGAAACATGACAAATGACTTAGACTTATTATATGGCAGAGTCGAATTATACTTGCATATAATAGAGTTGAACTAAGTTGGTGATGTTTCTGAATGAAACATGACGAATAACTTAGACTCATTATATGGAAAAGTTGAATTATACTTGCATATAATGGAGTTGAACTAAGTTGAATTAACTCGGACGTGCCATATCGGCAGCGTCAAACTCAGAATGGAACTAAGTTCATTAATAGAGAAACCAAGGTTGAAACACCTCGGGAAGCCTTTGTTTGAATCTAACTTCGGCAAAAGACCATAGATACATGCTTAATGTGAACTTAAGTGGAACTTAGGTTCACATTAGAGGGCAGGGAGCTGGAGTGATGAACAAACTTAAGAGTTTGACATTTGTTGAAATTTTCAGAAATGGGCTTAACACTTGTTGAACTTTCAGAGAAATTTACAAGTTGAAGTTAGCCGATGCAATGATGAATAAAGTATCCAAGGTACATGTTACCCGAGGTGACCAACCACGTTGTCAAAACTTGGAAAGGGTGAAGTTTTAATAGAAGATAGCGTATGGAGGTAAAAAAGCAATAACACTTGTAAAAATATTTTTATTTTTAAAGTGTTAGCCGAGGTATGAAAATGGTTAGCCGAGGCAAACAATCAAAGTTTATCCGAGGTATTGTATCCCGGAGTTATACAGTTAAGGTACACTTTGAAAAAATACAAAAATATTCTAAGTTTGGAAGCATGAAAAGCATGAAAGAAAGCAACAAACATGCATAGAAGACAAGAAGGCATACATTCAACACTTGGAAGAAAATATAAGACTTGCATTCAGAAAAGAAACTTGTTCAGATACAAAAAGGCACTTCGGCCTGGTATAAGAGATTACTTATTCATCTACAAAGACAAAAAGGGCACATCGGCCAAATATAAAGCTAACATTTTTCAAACAAAAGATTACAACTGTCTAAAATGAAGAAGGAAAAATACAAAAATGAGGAAAAACCAAAGTTTATGCATTTTCCACAGTCTGCCCTGCCTTGGCAATTGGCGTTGTGTCAGCCTTGGCAGACAGTTGGGCAAAATTTTCAGCTTGGATGTCGGCGTCGATCTCACGCAGTGTGTCATCTAGGCTCTTGTTGGCAGTCTCGACCTCGGCCTCAGAAGTGGTCTTTTGAACCTCATCATCTTCATCTTGAGTCAAGTCAAGGACTTGCTCATTCAGAGTTAGGACTTGGCCCCAGCAGCAGCTTCAGATTCTTTCTCGGCAACCTTAGTGTCAGCCATTTCCTTGTCTCCGGCCTCTTCGTCGTCTGCTTCTTCTACGTCATCGGCCTCATCCTCAGATTTGATTGGGAGAGGGAGAGAAAAGGACATTGAGCTGACCCATATCATGGAGGGGTGAGTCCTCGAGGACAGACATTTTTTTAAGGGATGTCATCCAGTTAAGATAGTAGCCTTCGTTGTAGGCCATGTTGACTTAATTTTTCGACTTTAACAATGGCCTCGGCTTTGGCAGCAGTAACTTGGTCCACTTGCTTCATGTGTTTCTCTTTCGAGATATTGAGTTGCTGGAGGCATAAGCATGTTGGATTGACTATAAGTAGATGGAGTGGATTGCACAATTATGACATCAGGGATGTCAACAAGAGGGTCTTCTACGACAAGAGTTTGGCGAGACATGTCGTCATTGGTTACGGCGATGGTTACTCACAGATAAGGTGATTGAAAAATTATTAAGGTCTAAGGCTGGGAGATTAGGACCTCGGTGTTTCCTGTTCTTGGTTCTAGCTGCAAGATTGTCGCTATGTCGGTGTTTTCACTGCCATTGAGATGGTGGGTTGATGTGTGGAGCAGCTAATGAATTGCTTGGCTGTTAGTCTGGTTCAATTGGTAGAGTTTGAACCTTGGGCACAAAAGGAGTCTTCATAGTAATGAATGCTTCAAGAACAGCGATGATGGTTTGCAGAGGCCAAGAGAAAGAGAGTCTTGGGACAAAGATAAAAACGAAATAGGAAGATGAAATGGTTTTGCTGGAATTAGAAAAATATGGCAAAAAGTTATGATTTTGAGTCCTGACGTGCCCGTGCTGACGTCAGACGGCGATGGGCAGAACTGATGAGACATGATGGAGACGTGATTGGTACGCTCCAATCTCATAATGATTTTGATTGAGATGTGCGATCTTAGTTGAGATATTGATCTCGGTTGATATGACAATCTCGGTTGAGATGACGATCTCGACTGGGATGACGATCTCGGTTGAGTTGGTGATCTTGGTTGACATGATGACCTCAGTTGAGATATTGATCTCGGTAGAGATTATGATCTTGGTTGAGATGACGATCTCGGTTGATATGGTGATCGTGGTTAACATGATGATTTCAGTTGAGATGTTGATTTTGGTTGAGATGTTAGACTTGAAGGGGGGCAGAACTTGTTTATTCTTGGTTTCTGATGAGTTGATACTAGGATCTTGATGTTCTTGAACTAACAAGTCATGATCTCTGCTAGTAGTGCGATCTCTGTCGAGATGTTGGACCTAGATGAAATGGAACATGATGGTTCATGGTTCTTGGTTTTTGATTCTTGATTCTTGACGAATGGACATTTGAGTCCTTGTTTCTTGGTGCTAACGAGTCACGATCTCGGTCGGGGAAGTACATGTATAGGTTCTATCACCTTAGTTTGCTGAGGTAATAGAACTTATGGGGCTGTTGTGGAGACATATTTTTAGGTAGTACACGTGGCCGAGGTTGTTAGCCGAGGTACTACGTGGGCGAACCATGGTGTTGAGATATGGTGCGATAATACCGGAATCCGAGATGAATGGATAAGGGACAAGAGTCCTAGAATGGGAGAGGACTTCAATTTGGATAAAGATAAGACTCTTAGGGAGTTTATCCCAATCTAATTGGGAGTCCTGGATTAGCATTGAGCCAGAGTTTATTGAAGCTAGGCTTCTACTGAGATTAGATTAGTGTTGGCTATAAAAGTAAGGCACCCTCATGGGTCTAAGGTACGCTTTTTGTATTCTGAATAGTGAGTTAAGCAATTTAGCTATCTTTGAGAGATAACTGACTTGATCGTCAGAGTGTTCCCGAGTGAACGAATCACCGCCGGAATCTTATTTTTTTGTGACAGGTCGTTCGGGCGCAATATATTATGTCGGTGTTCTCCAGCTAAGTGCCCCGTTTGGTTATGTGGTCGGGAATCAACACTCACAATAATATATATATTTTTTCCTTGAAAAATTTCCAATTGGATCGGTAGAGTGGTGTAATTTGGAGTTTTTAATAAATCTATTTAAGAATTTTTGAATTTTTTTTTTAATTGGTGTAATTTAAGAGTTTTAATTTGTTTATAATTTTAGTGTACTTTAAAGAGTAATTTGAAAAAAAATAATAAAATTTATTGAAAATAAATTATAATCTTAAACAAAAAAAAATTTCAAAACAGTAAACATGGAGCGAGTTAGATACTTGGGCCTTTACGATGATCCAGCTCAAAACGGGCCCGGTTCGATCCTATAAGAGGAAACACGTGCAGCTCATCGAACCATTTCTGCTCGGTAGATAAAGTAGATCGAGAGACACACACACTCTCTTTCCGTACCTGGAAACCCTAGCCCCCAAAATCCCTAGAACCAAACACAATAGCCATGGCCAAGAAGCGAAAGCTCCGACCTTCCGAGCCCGAATCATCCAACATAACCCCCGAACCCCAAACCCAACCTCCGATCGAAGCTGAAGCAGATCAAGAGCAGATCGAACAACACCACCACCAACAGCAACTACAACAACAGATCATTGAAGAAGAAGAAGAAGAACAACGACAAGAACAACTTCAAAACATGGACGAGGACGATAACGAAGAAGAACAAGAGGGTGTCGAAGAAGAAGACGACGAAGAAGGAGTTGAAGAATCGTTGAAGAAGAACTCAAACCGATTGCGCTTTCGAAACAAGTTCCTGCTGACGCCAACGGCGGCCTCGGAGGAACGCGGTGACAAAGAGAAAAGAGGAAGAGGAAGAGGAGTTGGAGGATGAGCCTGTTGAGAAGATTCTAGAACCGTTCGGGAAGGAACAGCTTGTTGTTCTTGTGAAAGAGGCGGTTTCCAAGTACCCTGAATTGATGGAGATTGTTCACAAGCTTGCCGATGCGGACCCAGCTCATCGCAAGATCTTCGTGCACGGACTTGGTTGGGATACTAACGCCGAAACCCTAACTAGTGTCTTCGGGAAGTACGGCGAGATCGAGGATTGCAAGGCTGTGTCTGATAAGGTCTCTGGAAAGTCTAAGGGATATGGGTTTATTCTGTTCAAGCATCGGAGTGGCGCTCGGAAGGCGCTCCAGCAGCCCCAGAAGAAGATTGGGAATCGGATGACTTCGTGCCAGCTGGCGTCTGCTGGGCCTGTCCCGGCACCTCCTCCTACCGCACCGCCGGTGTCTGAGTACACTCAGAGGAAGATTTTCGTGAGCAATGTGTCGTCAGAGATCGATCCCCAAAAGCTGCTCGAGTACTTTTCCAAGTTTGGGGAGATTGAGGACGGGCCTCTGGGATTAGATAAGCAAACTGGGAAACCTAAAGGGTTCTGTCTTTTTGTGTACAAGTCGATTGAGAGTGCAAGGAAGGCCTTGGAAGAGCCGCACAAGAACTATGAAGGGCATACATTGCATTGTCAGAAGGCAGTTGATGGTCCAAAACCAACTAAGCCCTATTATCAACAACATCAGCAGCATCACCATCAGCATCATCATCAGCAGTACCATCCTCACTCTTCCAGGAAGGAAAAGACCAAATATTCGTCTGGTGGGGGTTCTGGACCGGGACACTTGATGGCTCCGTCGGGACCTTCAGTGGGTTATAACCCTGCTGTTGCAGCGCCTGCGTTGACCCCGGCTCTTGGGCAGGCGTTAACTGCTCTGCTTGCTACTCAGGGAGCTGGATTGGGGATCACTAACTTGCTTGGGGGACTGGGTGCACCAGTGAACCAGGGAGTGCCACCAATGATGAACAATCCGGGGTATGGGAATCAGCCTGGTGGCAGCTATGGAAATCAACCTGGGATGCAGGGTGGGTATCAGAACCCACAAATGGGGCAAGGTGCCAGTAGGCCGCAGCCGGGTGGTGCCCCTTACATGGGTCATGGTCACTAGGTAAGTGAAAGGTACATGATTTACTTGCTTGATATATATCTTTTCCTTGCGTTTTTTTTGTTGCTACTGATACACAAATTTAGTATTTTGTGAATTTATTAAGTAGTACAGAAAAATATTGTGCAATAGCATTTAAGTTGTGTCAAATTGAAGGAAAAGGTGAGCCTAAGTAATGAAGAGAATTGTGTTGCCTACTTATTTTAACTGAAATTAATTTACTTACTAGAAGAACTTCCAATAAGGAAAATGCTATTGAAGGTTTTGAAGCTTATGACCACAAAATAATATCACATAAGGAGGAGTAGTTGGGTTTCAGGGATAGTTTGTTTTCAGGGAGTGTTAATCTATCTACGGATCTATTTTTTTGAATTTTGTTGGCTATGTTGATACTATATGATGTGTAAGGTTATTTTGGTTTATTATAGTTAATGGTATACTTGTAGATGTATGAGGACCGCATGCCTTTTTAATGTTTTTTTAATCAAATTTAAGTTTTAATTATAAGAAAAAAGTGTTTTAGTTGTATTGCAAAACTCATTTGTGTGTGCTTTGGTCTTTTGGTTTACTTACTATAATCATTATTATTTTTGGTTTGTTAGAGAAAGAAATGAACTAAGAAGCATGGACATTTTTAAGAAGACTTGTTTGTCATACACTTGTCGGATATTGACACTGGTCGAACACTTTCTGACACTCAATGGACACTTCTAACTTGTGTTAGACACACATCAAAAAATGTCCTTTTAATGATTTTAAGATTTTTTTGGACATGCTTTGGACACTTGGAGAAAGACACGTGTTCATTGCTTAAATACATGTGAAAAACCAGGTAGATTTATACATATCCTCATTGTAGTTGTTTTTGATTGTCTAGTTGGATGGTAGGTCTGTCTTTTCATTGTGTCTATTACTTTGGTGTAATGTGTAGGGCAGCAATGATCTGACATCCCATATTCTCATTGATGAGGTAGGTGTATTGCCTTGATAACTGTTAGGAGTAAGCTGGCTTGTTTTCAATTATATTTGCATTCTGAGCTCCTCTGTTTTGATTTTGCCACACATGTGATGGAAATATTGCTGTGTAAATTGCTTGTCAGTTTTAACTATTTATATGAAGTTTTGTTTTGAAAGTGTTCCTGTACTACTGTCAAATTCTTTTTGTTTTCAAGCTCATGTTAGAAGTTAGCTCTCAAATCTTTTGTGGCTCTTTTCCTAAATTTCCTACTCATCGTATTACTATTCCATTTTTTTTTACAAATATCCTTATGATTATATCATCGCTAGGTAAATGACAATTATTGTTTTTTTAACTTAATGAAGGTATGGGATTTCAGCTTCAGTTTGTTACATTGGTTTTTTCTTCTTGAAATATTTTCTTCTTAAAATAGGTTTTTTTATGTTTTACGTATTCATTGTGCAGATTCCTTCATAGATGCATCAAACTTTTAGTTTTGGACTCTGGTGATTCTTCTGAAGTTCCAGGAACTCATGCAAACGACGTCTTTATATTTGTAGCAATATGTTACTATTTGCCTAAAGACCAGAATCTTAAACTTGTATTTTCCTTTCTATTCAAGTACTTTTCTTCCTTCGAATGTTTTCAAAACAATGTAGTATTTTGGCTCCAATGTTTTGTTTCTGAAAAAGTGTTGGGGAGCAGGTAGGTTTTTCCTATAGAGACCACCATGTCTCTCCGGATTTTTAAGTGGTTTATCAGCAATGTTTTTCTTTATTGACTAATGCCTTAATGGCGTCTTTGTGCTTCACTTAGCTGCTTGCTTAATGGCATTTTTATGGTTGTTTGAAATTTTCCCTTTTATTGCCTAAATATGATTTTTTGTGATTCGATGTCACTTTATCCCTGCTCGTGTGGATTGCGTGGCATAATATTATTTTTGGAGTCTTACTACCCCCTCCCATTTGTTTATACACAACTATTTGGAAAGACAAACATTTTGCATTATGTTTTTACCTTACCATGTAAATCTATTGAATTACCTATATAAGAAAAGAAAAAACTATTTTGCAAGTGTTGTGTCCATTTGCATTTAGAATTGAAGCTGATACCTATCCATTCATTGTCTCTGCCCTTTGATGTACTGTATTACAGAATCAACCTTGGCAAGATGGCTAATCCATTCACTCATTCTATGAATTTATCTTATGAACATTGTTATTGCAGGTGATTTCTTGTAGCACAAACAACCTGTAGCAAGGAAATGACATTTCCAAGAACTTTCTCCCTTTACCTTTTCTTTTTTTCATTATCTTTTATCTGTTTTTTTTTTTTTTTGGCTATACAACTTAGTAAAATATTATCTAAGTAATTTTTTTGGGATGGGGGGAGGGGTGTTAAAGAATTATTCTGAGAATAAAACAAATTTTGTCAGACCTTTATATTTACTCCATTTTACAAAGCATATTTTTAGTAGCAAGAACTCTTTAGTATTGGGGAGGAATTGCTGGGTGATTTATATCTGGTTGAATGCTTATTGTAGGTGCAAGTTTCAGAAGTCTGTAACTTTTGAAAAATAAAAAAATAAAGATGGGTATATTGCACTTTACTCCCTGCAGTTGGTCCAAAAAACACTAAAACCCTGTTTTCCTTCTAAATTGACTCTGTGGGCACGAAGCAACAAAAAATGATTTGTTTTTTCATTTTAAATTGAATTATTAATTTTTAAAATGACATTTAAACCTCTTAAAAAATCCCCTCCTCCCTTTACCTTCTTTCTTCCTTTCACGTTGCTCTCTGCAACTCTCCCCTCCTTCCTCACTATCTCATTTTGCCTTATTGTATAGATTTGGGTTTTGGTTTGATTTGGTTACTTTGCTCTGTGAGAGCATTATTAATTTTTAAAATGACATTTAAACCTCTTAAAAAAGCCCCTCCTCCCTTTGCCTTCTTTCTTCCTTTCACCTTACTCTCTGCAACTCTCCCCTCCTTCCTCACTATCTCATTTTGCCTTATTGTATAGATTTGGGTTTTGGTTTGATTTGGTTACTTTGCTCTGTGAGAGAGCATTAGTGGGTTGGGGGAGGAGGAGGTCTGACGAGGTTGGGGGTGGAGGTGGAGGTGGTATTGACAGGGGCGTGGGTGGAGGGAGGGAGGGGCAACAACAGGGGTTAGGTGGTGGTGATGGGATTGGTGCAGATGGGTGTTGGTGGTGGTTTTGGGTGCTGACGAGTGCTGGTGGTGGATTGAGGGAAGAAAGATAGAAGAGGGGAGAGGGAAATAAAAGGGTTATTTTAGTCCTTTTAATTTTTTTGGTCACAGCCATCATAGTGTCATAAATCGTACTTCAGGATGCATTGTGTTTTTGGGCCTAACCCTAGGATAAGGTTTAATTTTCCCCAAAAAGATACAAAATTACCCAATCAGTTTGCTAATGTAATGATTGGATGCATTTTTTCTTTTCCTAAAGCCTGAGATAAAGGTTTTCAACTCCTGTTTCTTTGCCCTGAGGTCAGAATTAGGATTTGGTCAAATATGGTTGTTTCCTTCGGATGTCGAGAGTTTCTTTTCTTCCCCCTTCCCCCTTTCCCTCCCCTCCCTGGCAGTAGTATCTGTTCGCAACAATTTCTCTTGAATCTTCCCTTGCTGTGTGAGGATTGGTCTTTCTTAAAGCAAAGGAATCTGGGCAAAGAACATGATGATCTGATCAGCCTGTAGCCTCAGGATGTGCTTCCATGGATGTCCCATGCAACTCCCTGGCTTACAAGGTAAGCATTTGCTTGTAACGGTTGATTGCTTTGATCAAATCCAAAGAGTATCTTGTACTGAAGTTCCTCTATAGTAATGCTTTCTGAAGAATTTAGTTGGATATCGTCCTATAGAATGTTTAGAACGATGATTAGTTAATTTCAGTTCCTATTGCGTTAGATGGCAAGTGTAAATTTGGGGTACTTGTTTAACAGAAAACCGTTCCATGCCTTTTCTTTTGCTGATATCAGTTTTTAGAACCTTCACTCCATTTCACTGGTTTCCTTGCCAACCTGAAATTTTTCTACCCAGTTTTTCCCCCTTTGAGAAGGTGATGCGGATTTGTAGAAATGGGTGCTTCTTTAGCTGATTTTTTAAAATTTAAAAAAAAAAAAAAAAAAAACTCTGCAATGACTCCTGATTTTATATGGATTGGTCATGTTAGATATTTGTTCTATGTGGTTGATATTTTGTATTCTGGTTAACAATAAATGCTTGGTATGAAATGATTTACAAAGTAGCAGATATTTAATGGACATAATGAAATTGGCTAATTAGTAGGTTTGGCGGGTGGGGCTTTATCATTTGTGGGACGTGTCCGAAGTTTTCTGTGGGCACGACTGTTGTCATGTTGAACATTTTGAGTTCTTCATATCTCAACTAAATTACCAATTTTATTTACCAACAATCCACATAGGCGGACTCGTGTGTCTACTTGGTAAAATATTTGGTAATTAGGTAGGGATATCTATATTTTTCCAAACATCTTAGTACCTCTCTATCTGAGACTGGATAGATGAAATTTTTGTTATATTATTAGTTGAACTGGATGTCTTTTTCCTCCTCTATTTGGGATATCCATTTTTGTATTCTTGTTGCTATGTTGCCCCATTAGGTGGTGCTGGACCCAGACTCGGACCCTGGGCTGGAGCTGGATGTGATGATATCTGCATTGCAGGGATGAATGGGCGTGGTGGTGTGAGGATCTTTTCCTTTGTTCTCTATTTGTTATCTCCATGGGTTCTTCTTTGTTGCTATGTTTTTTATTTTTATGTTTCATGGTCAACGAAAAACAAAAATTATGTTATGGAACTAGAAACAGTAGTTCCATAGTATGGTTGTGGGCTTACTTTAAAAATAAAATACCACAAATGGTATATAAATCTTAGGTAGAATCAATCCTGCCCTTATGGTATTTTACTGTAGGTATTTTGTTTTTGCACAATGTATCATGGGAATAGATGAAGATTTTTTTTGATTAGATTGGATGCTAATGATATTATATTGATGGTATTATGAAGGTAAGTTATATCATGGTAATAGATGAAGATAGAGAGGGAAAGGGCGAAGGTGGGTTTTTGTGAATCTTGTCTAATTTATTTTCATTAGTAAGGACATGTGAGACGTTAGTTTTGAAGGTGGGCATGTATATAGAGATGAGAGGTCTAGACAATAATGGACATGATAGGCTGGGTGGTGAGCCGTTACCATATGAGAAGACTAGTGATTTTTGAGAATCGAAAACACAATTTATATCTAAGTTTAAAGATATGGGTGAGGGGAGCTACTAAGCGTGCAGGGTGATATTTTGCTACACCCTTGGCTTTCGATTGGCCTAATTACTATAGGAAAGAAATAATATGTATGGCCTAATTACTATCTTTTATATGGCTTTACTTATTTCCATAGTTTTATCTCGCGTACGATCATTATAGTTTTTAAGAATTTTTATTTTGTGCATATTAAATGCCGGTGACAAATCATGTGAGGCTAAATTGTCTTTTATTCACAAGATTAATTGAAATGAAGTGGAGATAAGATTAATTGAAGACGGACATATATATATATATATATATTGAAAAACTAATTGAAGTTAAATTTACATTTGTCTAACGAAACCCAGTAGTAGGAAGGAGCCACAAAACCTTGCCTTCCATGTTTGGAAGTAAACAATAAATCTTTTTTGACACTTCATCCGCGCTCATGTTAGTGCCCTAGTTTTGGTTGCTAAGGACTCCAGTTTTTGTTCGAAAAATAGAGCCTCACTTCTTTGGAACCCTCATTTGTGTATTAATAGAAATATTTTTATTAGATTTAAATGAAGGGTCCAATTGGAGCGGTCAATTAATTCTAGTTCTTAAATTTTTTATTAAATAAATGATCAAATATTTTACTTATATGTGATTCACAAAATTGCAAACACCACACTATGCGAGACATTTAGTTATTTATTTGATAGAAAATTTAGTATCTCTGGTATTACCCATCAAAGTAATGAATGGTTGTCTTAAATGCATAGATTCTTTATAAAATTTTGTTGACTATATTGGTTACAAGTGCCTCTAGAGTGTGTTGTTTGTTTTTTTTTTTATTTGAAGTTATTTAAATCTTACTTTCGATTAATGTATTACAAGAAAGACTGATGGATTATATAAGATTAATTAATAATTTTGTAACTAAGCATTTAATAAGCAAAGTAATATTTAAGTGGTACTGCACTTAATTTAATATTTATTTAGTATTATATCTTTTTACTTTATTTGGTGTTTTATTTCTTGTCTTAAATTAAATTTGAGTATATTATTAATTGATGATAATGAACGGGTAAATTACACTAATGGGGTTTATTATATGATTTTCACATCACAATTTTGCTTATAAAAATTGTGGGTATTTGCCATTTTACCTTCAAATTTTTTTTCTTGTAAATTATACATAGAGAGCATGTTTGTTTTGAGGGATAAGAGAGTGGGATTGGACTATTAGTCCCACCGGATTAATAGTCCATTTGTTTGAAAAATTTTGCTCCGGACTATTAGTCCCACAAACATGGGACTATCTTATCCCATGGGGGGTGTGGGATAGAAACCATGGGATTGGTATCCCGTGGGATTATTTTGTGAAATATCTATTTTACCACTATTACTTAGTGAACAATTAGAAAATGATAAAATAGTCTTTTGAACATTTATAAATTATTTTTTTAGTGTTGCTAATTTAAAACTATATATTAAATAAAAAATTTAAATTATAAATTAAATTTAATTAAAAATAATAAATTATAAATTATGGCCTTATAAATTAAATTTTTTTAGTGTTGTTAAAAAATTAAATTTACATATTAAATTAATGTTGTTAAAAAAATTAAATTTATATATTAAATAAAATTATTTTTTCAGTGTTGTTAATTTAAAATTTTATATTAAATAAAAAATATAAATTATAAATTAAATTTAATTAAAAATAATAAATAATAAATTATAAATTATGGCCTTATAAATTAAATTTTTTTAGTGTTGTTGAAAATTTAATTTATATATTAAATAAAATTATTTTTTTATTGTCGTTATTTAAAATTATATATTAAATAAAAATATAAAATATAAAATATAAATTTAATTTAATTGAAAATAATAAATTAAAAATTGTGGCCTTATAAATTAAATTTTTTAGTGTTATTAAATTATAAATTATAGATTATAAGGGTAAAATAGTCTTTTGAATATTTATCTTTATTCAATCCGTCTAACTAAATATTGGATTTACTAAAAATATTTTAATCCAGTCATCTAATTCCATGACTAAACAAACATAGGATACAAATTCAATCCAATCAAATAGTCTCGGGATAATGTATTCCGGGATTAAAAGTCCGATGGATTATAATCCCTCTTTATCCAGTCCGTCCAAGCAAACACACCCAGAGGGTGTTAAGAAAATTCACCCAGTGCCCCAAAAATGTAACACTTCCACCGGTTATTTACAGACAAAGCATTGTTATTACCATGTGTAGCATGTGTTTTTCATTCTGTTTTAATTTTTTTTTGAACACAAAATTGTTGGGCAAATTAAAGACAAAGCATTGTTATTACCATGTGTGGCATATGTGTTTGCTTGTGTTTTCATTTTGTTTTTATTTTTTGAAGAACACAAAATTTATTGGGCAAATTAATCTAGTAGTCCTTATATTTTGTCTGGTGTCATTTTTGTTCTTATTATTTTAATTGATTCAATTTTGATCTTAAATTTATAATTTTGTTACAATTTAATCCAATTAATTATACTCGTTAGCTTTTTTTTTAATGGAAAATGGTTACGTATGTGACATGTATCATACATTTCGGGGTAAAATTGAAAATATACTTGACTCAATGAGTTAACTCAAACCAAATTAATAATTATTTTTTATCAAAATTTTGACTAGCGCTATCAATTGAATCAAATTGATACAATGGTCAAAATTGAGTTAATTAAAAGTATAGAGATTAAAATGATATAAGGAGCAAAATGCAAAAATTATTGAGATAATTTGTCCAAATTTGTTTGATAGGCTATTTCTGGAGAAAAAACATTGAACTTTTTTTTATTTATTAAAATAACCAACATTTTTGGGAAACACAACAGTATTTATTTTGGAAATTTAAAAAAATATCACTAATCGCTTCAAATTTGAAGAAAATATAATAAATTCTAGCACTGACAAGTCTAAAATCGAGCATCGACGATGGCGATTGGACTACCTATGAGCATTCTCACCGATAATCTCTTTCCACCAACGATCTATGTGACCGAAATTTGAGCACTGATGCTAATGATCGGACTACTGATAAGCTCTCTCACTAACAATTTCTGTAAAGAAGTCGCTAAATTTTAGACCTATATTACTGAACGAATTAGCTCCGTTTGGACTTGCGTTATTGAACAAATTATTCCCGTTCGAACCTGTGTTACCCAACAAATTAGCCTTGTTTGGACCTATGTTACCAACCAATTTGTACAAACTAGTCTAGCTAGAGAAGTGCGAACTTGTCTAAGACTTATTAGAGAAGATTTGCCACTGGAAAAATTTGCAAAGAAGTATCGTTTATGTGATTGTGTAGGTTTTATGAAAGTTTTGAGGGTTTTAAAGTAAGTGGGTGATGATGGAAGTGGATACTTTCAAAATCTTATTATGTTATGATTTAGTGGGTGGTCTAATTGTGAGATGAGGTGTCTCAATTGCATCCATGTCTTTTTTTGTCCTCCTAAAGTTTCACTCATTTCTCACTTTGGCCCTTTAAGTTGAATTTTTTCCACTTTAATCCTTTATGTTTGCAATTATTCTCACTTTGGCCTTTTAAGTTTGATTTTTTCTCACTTTGTTATTTCATGTTTGCAATCTTTCCTATTTTACTTCTAAACTAACTTTTATAAAAAAAACTAACAGAATCTGTCACATCATTAACACATCAGCTCTATGTGTAATGTAAAAAATTCACTAAAGATGCAAAAAATAAAAAATTGAAAATTTGATTTTTTTTTTTTTTTGTCTTTAGTGAATTTTTTTTTTCAAATTTACTCATAAACATTATTACATTATAGATGTATCTATATTAGATGCATCTAAAAAAATAAAAACAAATTTAACTAAAAAAAGAAAAAAAAGTTTACTAAGCCCCGATTTGGCATTCTCACTTGGGTTAAATAAGCACATAAGGACAAAAAAGAGTTACAAAATCACAAAATGCCAAAAAAGTTTAGTTGGGATGCAAAATTACCAAAATGATCCATATACAAACAAAAAGTCAAAAAAGCATCATTCCAAAGTGGAGGTCAATTTTGTCATTCAAATGCTAAAAAGTCAAAAAAGCCAAATAAGAAAACCAAACAAACAAAAAAGTTTCAGGCTAAAAAAGTAAAAAAAATAAAAAAGCCAACTAAAAAATTCATTGCCAAACGGCCCCTAAAAACAAAAAAAATGAAAATATACTAACTCAAGCATCTGTATTGTCAATTCTGAAATAAAAAGTTTTTTTTTTTTCCCGTCTTTAGTAAGCTTTTTTTTTCTTTTTTTAGTTAAATTTGTTTTATTTTTTTAAGTGCATCTAATCTAGATACATCTATAATGTAATAATATTTATGAATAAATTTGAAAAAAAAAATCACTAAAGACAGAAAATTCCCATTTTTTGTTTTTTTTTTTATTTTTTGCATTTTTAGTAAATTTTTTACATTTTTTACATTATACATGGAGCTGATGGATTGGTGATGTGACATATTCTGTTAGTTTTTTGAATGGAAGTTAGTTTAAGAGTAAAGTGGAAAGGATTACAAATATAAAGGGTCAAAGTAGGAAGAATTGCAAACATGAAAAGCCAAAGTGAAAAAAATCAAACTTAAAAGGCCAAAGTGAGAAGAATTGCAAATATGAAGGGCCAAAGTGACAATGATTGTAAATATAAAGGGTCAAATTGAGAAAAATTAAATTTAAAAGACCAAAATGAGAAATGATTGAAACTTCAAAGAAGCAAAGTTTAATTTATCTATCCTTTTTAATAATTTCATTTGAGATTATCATTATAATAAAAAAAGATAAAACAATTGGAGAATCCAAAATAATAATTGAGATGCTATTAGCAACACTGACGAAAACCAATAATGATATCTTTACCCTTTTTAAAAGGACAAAATTCCAAACAGCACCCCAGGCTTACGAAATACATGTAACTTTTTTAAAAATTGCTCGCCTGTAAGATTCTAGACCACATAACAAAAGACTTTTTATTCAAGGATTGATTTTGTTGATGTCATTAATTTTAAATATCCATATTACCCTCAATATATCATCTATCTCCCTTTCTCCGCCGACAATCTCTCTCACTCATTCTGATTTACCACTCTCCACTATAACCACCATCAAAGTTACCACAACAACCACATCTATTGGTAAAGGCTTAAGCGTGCCTTTGTCCTCGTCAAGGAGGAGATCCAACTTCATGGTGGTCAAAAGATAGACCAGCTACAACCATCTAATCGGATCTTTATGTGCGTGGAAGTCACAATAAAGATGACTATTATGGCGTGCCATTGTTGCTTTGTGATTTGAGGCAAATTGTGTCTATGTTGGGTGATTGGCAAGGGTAGATGGGCGAGGAGGCTAGGGGCGTGCAGCCGAGAGATAGGAGTGGTTGGTTGGGGGGTTGGGCATAGCAACAGAAGGTGGTTGAAAGGTGGGTGATCCTGGGTGAGGAAGAAGAAAGAAGAGATAAGAGTGCAATTTGTTTTGCTAATCACGAGTAACTATGAGAATGCGCAGCAAGTGGATGGGAAATAGGAAGGGGGAATCAACACTCACAGTGATGATTCGAACACCGGTAACAAAGTGCAAAGCTAGCCCATATTCTGAAAAGATGATATTGAGATTTCCATATTCACTCCCAATGGTAGTCTCTTATTGTTATTGGATGAGACTGCAGTATAGCAGGAGAAAGGGCATACTTGAAATCAACAGGTAAGAAAGCTTGTAATCCAAAAATTTTGACATCAAACCATAAAAACCCCAATGAGCAAGGGTGAAACTGCAATCTCATAAAAGCAATTAGTACTTGGAAGAAACATATAACATCATTCCAAAACAACATCTAGAAAACTAGGGGCTAAAACAGAGACTTCCATTCCAACTGAAAAACGGTAATAATTAATTGAAAGGTCAAGGCAACAGCTGCAAAACGATAAGATACACGCAATTTCCCATCACTAGCCACTTAGAATAGAGAAGTTCCCTTCCCCTTCTTATCTCCACCAATCTCAAAATGTTTGCACCTCTGCAGAAACAGTTGCAATAAATTTTTTAAGTATTCATAAAAATAAAAATAAAAACGACAACAACAACAACAACAACAAACCAACACTGAATGTGGATGTGTCACTAAGAGTTACGAAGCTAACCTTGATTGGGTGCTGTGATACATGCTTGCAACCCTGGCATTGCAGCCTCAGCACAATCTTTTTAGTGGTTTTTGCCTAGTCAAATATAAATCAAGTCTATAATCATCAATCTGGGAAATCCAACAACCATATATTTTACACTACAATTTCCTCGACTGAAATGGTAAGATTCCTATCTTTATGGCTAAAGAAGCGGGCTAGCATACATGGATGAGCACCACTAGAAATGAAAAACGTACATTAGGAGAAGGTTGGAAATTGATTCTTACCTTTTTGTGGAAAACTGGTTTTGTTTGTCCACCATAGCCAGATTGTTTCCGATCATAACGACGCTTGCCTTGTGCTGCCAAACTATCCTTTCCCTTCTTATATTGGGTAACCTTATGCAAGGTGTGCTTCCGGCACTCCTTTGACTTGCAGTAGGTCTTCTTGGTCTTTGGAACGTTAACCTACAACAGACGGATCATATTACATTTAAATACAACATAAAGAACTTCAAAGATGTATGATTAGATGAGAGCAAAATGATTACAATAAACTGAGGTTTGAATTTCAGCATCTAGAAAATTTATGTAGACCATGGGAATAAATAAGTCAGCTATGAAAATAAAAAATGGGACCAACTAGTAATGTTAATTGTGAGCAGTTCTTAGATGATCCAAAAAAATAATATTTCAAAAAAAAATTACATTTATTTAACTCACCAAGTCGAGGTCCATCTCCAAGAAAAAAACTATAGATCTACCAGAATATCCAAAACTAGTATAGGTAATGACAGCATTAATGAATATAAAAGTAGATTGAAAAATTTCTCTCAAATTAACAATTCGGCAATCAATTTATATCATTTACAAAATAACATGCCTGGTCGAAAACAGTTACAACCAATCATAGTTTTTTTTTTATGAGTGCATTCAATCACAGTATTATTAAATGTCTCTTTCATGTACAAATAATCAATCTTTTCCCCATTCTTCTGCAATCAGCAGTAACAGCATAAACTTCTATAGGAGCTCAATCTTAGGGTTTAAATGGCTGAAACAAACTTCCATCCCATCTCAAAATAAAACCAAGATTTATAAAAAGTAAAAACATAACATGGAATGATCAAAAACAATAATTTTAGTGGTTAAATAATATTTTGCACTAAATGTGAAAATGGACACCACAATATATTAGTTGCAGCTGAAATAAGATCTTCCTTTCTACATGAAAGTTTTAATGGAATAACCCATTACTTTAGCATTAAGACAAAATATTTACAAACATTTCAAAGCAATTTCGACAATTTATTTACTTTTTATTTCTTTATCACAATTTGATTGCCTAATATCAAGCCAATTCCAAGCAACTACAATTGCAAACCCTAGCACGATCACAGAAACGTATACATCTCTAGACTACAAAAAAGTTAAAAGAAAGAATAAAAAAATGATCAGATCTCAATAAATCGACGGGCCAAAGTTCAAATTTCTTTCTTTTCCTACATTTTCTCTTCAACCAAACAGAAACAAAACGCTAAGCTAGAGAGAGAGAGAGAGAGAGAGAGATACCATGGCTGCGTCGCAGAGTCAGTCTCAAAGCTTCTAGGATTTGTGAGAGCTCTAGCGTAAACTTTATTGTTGTAGCAAGCATATAGGCGGTGAGTAGGGTTAGGGTTAGGGTTAGGGTTAGGGTTTTTGACGGGCCTGTGATTCTGAATTGACCCAATTGAACTTGGATCTCTACGAAGCCCATTTCCAATGTTGGCCCAACATTTCTTCTTCTTCTGCTCCTTCTTCTTTTGCATAGTTGATTGTCTACTCAAAACAATATTTATTTATTTATTTATTGATTGATTTTAAATTGGAACCTTGTTTCCGAAAATTGGATTAGGTTCTAATAAAACAAAATTAATAAAAATGCCTTTAGTTAAAAGATAATTTTATAGAGATCAAAAGATTGTTTTGGCGGATGAGTTATTTTTTGCCTTGCTAGAATTAGCTCTCGTAGTTTTAACTAGCATTTTCTTCACGAAAGCTCATTAAAGTATGGAAGATAAATTCGAGTATTAATAATAAGAGTGATAAACCATCTCTTGTTCGGGGCAGCGGTCATGGTCCACAATATTCCCTGTTCAAGTCGGGCGTCGGAAAACTTAGATTGCGTTTAGTAAAGTTTTTTAAATATGATTTGAGAATATGAGTTATATTTTGAATTTATGAGTTTTGTAATTATGATTTGAGTGTATAAAATTTATTTGGTGAATAAATTTTAAAAAAAAAAATTGAATTGAGTGGTGTAACATAATTTTTATACAAAAACTTATAACTCATAACTAAACACACAACCTAAAATTCTATTCAAAATGCAAAAATAAAAAATAAAAAAATTGAAAATATTTTGTATTTAACATATAAAAATAACAAGTGCAAAAAAATAAAATAAAATAAAATAAAATAAAATTAAGAACACTGTTTCGGTCAACCGGCCAGAGTTCGAGGGGACATCTGGGTACACAAATTTTCAAACGCGGGTGTGGAAATGTGTTTTGAAAACTGTAAACAAATGCCGCACTCAAACTAAAAGGTAGAATCATGATTCAAAAGCTGTACCAAACACAGCCATAATGTCTTTGGGATTGGATTGGGTCAGTTATTGGTAACATTTGGTTTACTTTTCAAAGCTTAATTCTATTTTTAAATCATGATTTAGATAAACACATGTTAATCAAACATATTTTTAAATACAATGCAAAATTACTTTCAAAACTCCTCTTTTCTTTTTTTCTTATTTGCTATTATTATCATTATTCAATCAATCAATCATTTTTTCTGTCTCATCTCTCCTCTCACATACCCTCACATTCTATAGATCAATCAATGAAAAAAAAATTACAAATCATCCAAAAGCTATTTTCAAAATTCATAACTAAACAAATTTTCTCTTTTCAAATTATGATTTAAAAATTCAGAACTTAAAAGCTAATTCCATACTCAAATCATAATTTGACAACTAAAATTGTCATTTTTAGGTATTACTATGTTGCATTATGCAGTTTTCCTTTATTCCCTTTCTATCTATTTTTTGTTTTTGTTTTTGTTTTTGTTTGTGTTTTTTTTTTTTTTTTTTTGAAGTGCATATATTGAATTTTTTTTTTTTTGTTCAAAACCCATAAAATATGTGTGGGTGATTTTCTGACCACACTGTCCGCTTAGTAATCAATTGGAAAGCACTAGCAGAATAGATGGCACCTGACTGACCTGCAACAAAAATATAAGAATCCCGCGGTGGTTCGTCCACCCGGGGCACTCTGACGATCAAGTCAGTATATCTCTCAAAGATAAATCAAGTACTAAACTCACAGGTTTGAGTATCAAAAGCATACCTTAGATCCATGGGGGTGCCTCTCTTTTATAGCCAACATAAACCTAGTCCCAATAGAAGCCTAATTTCTACGGACTCAGGATTATTGCTAATCTTGGACTCCCAGTAAGATTAGGATAAACTCTCTAAGAGTCTTATCTTAATACAAACTGAAGTCTTCTCTCATTCTAGGACTCTTGTTCATATCCAGGTTGAGTTCCCTCTTCATTCTAGGACTCTTGTCCCTTATCCGCTTATCTCGGTTTTCGATATCTTCAGAGGCAACCTTGGCCTAACCGAGATGACCTCGGCACAACGACCAAGACACGTGGCACCTCGGCTGACACGTCGGCGTCACCTTGCCACGTGTTGGTACTCAAAGAATATATCCCCACAACTGCCCCCTAGGTTCTATTACCTTGGCATTCTGAGGTGATGGAATCTACACTGTTCGTTCATCTGTGCCCCTCTATCCGAGATCAAACTTGCCGACCTCAAAGTTCACTGGACTTTACTGTCCACTGGTGTCAAGAATCAAGTTTCATGCTTTCCAAGCTGCTTGAAATCGCACCTCCTAGCCGAGGTTCTGGTTCCATTAATTCGTAAACTCCAAGAGCTTTGCAACTGCTCCACTTACACTCTCTAGTGAGTTCCCGATTTCCAGTCATCTATTTGACTCCGGCGATTTTCATATCGGCGTTCATTTCACTTTGTAGGTTCATAAACTCTTTACTTGCTATTAAGCTTAGTCTTTCATAACTCTTCTGAATCTGTTTACTTGCCATCTGTTGCCTTCTATTTTCGTCTGTCTTCAAGTTTTAAATTGTTTGAATGCTTGGCACTGTTCTTGTCATATCCGCTTTCTGTTGCTAGCATCGTGTCTGGGTCATTACTTTCTTGTTCTTCACATACTTACTTAGTGCCTGTGTACTTGGCTTTATTATTTGAACTTTGTCATCTTCTTGACTCTGATTTTTCTCTTCTTGTTTTTCTTGCTGTATTTCTAGATTCTTGCCTTCGTTTCTGTTTTCTGCATAGTCTTAGAACCACGTCCCTTCTTGAAATTGTTGCTGAGATAATGGTAGAGAAGCTCTCCCAGCTGACTGCCAATGCTTTTTTGCTTATGAAAAATGTCTGTTGTTGGCTGATGTTAACATTCCTTGCTCCTTGATTATCATTCCTTCTTCCACTGTATTTGATAGCCATGTCGGGTAATTGACTTCTCGATGGCCCTGGTCTCCAGAAGTCTGACTACTTATTTCTCTACTGCTTCGACGTGTATCAACGTCGGTCCTCTTGTTCGTTGGATTTACAGGTTTGGCCGACCTGTTGACGTTCAGTTAGTGACAAGTGACCTCGGGGTCAATGCCAGGCATTTTGTAAAGTATCCAAGCAAATACCTCAATGTTTGCTCTAAAAAAAAGCTGCCAATTCTCTTTCTTCTTCTTCGGCTAAGCCTGAGCTGAGAAGAAAAAAGCGTTTTTCATCCCCCTCCTGGACGAGGATTTTCCTCAGTGCCTCTTCACTCTTCTCGGCTGGCTCCTTGCCGACATCATCTAGGACCTCTATGTCCTCGTTTTCAATCTCTGCCTGCTCTGGTTCTCGAATGCTGCAGGTGGATTTCATTGCTGCCATAGAGCAATTCTCCACCTGCAGTTGATCTCCTCTGACTTCTTTAATCCCATGTTCTGTTGGGAACCGCAGTAGTTGATGTAACGTTGAGGGAACTGCCCCCATTGTATGCAACCATGGCCTTCCCAAGATGATATTGTATGGCGAGGGCGTGTCAATCACCATGAATTCTGTCTTGATCCTCTTCTAACTGCTCTTGCATGATTCTATACTTAGAATATTTTACATGTCTTATGTACTTTTCCTTCTTTGTGCAATTTTCTCGGGGTGACACACCTTGGCTATGCCACCTGACGTTTTACTTCGGCAAGTATTTGTCCTGTAAATTGCTTATAAATTTCAACAAGGATAAACATATACTAGTTTAATCTCAACTTCGTAAACTTTTCTTAAGTTTTAACAAGTGCTAAACAATGATCTACTTGTAAATTGCTACAAATTTTCACAAGTGTTAAATAATATATATTAGCTTAACTTCAACTTGTAAATTACTACAAATTTCAACAAGTGAAGGTAAACAATGATCTCGGCTTAACTTCAACTTGTAAATTGCTACAAATTTCAACAAATGAAGGTAAACAATTATCTCGGCTTAACTTCAACTTGTAAATTGCTACAAATTTCAACAAGCGTGAAGCATTACTTCGGTTTAACTTCTACTTGTAAATTGCTACAAATTTCAACAAGTGAAAGTAAACAATTATCTCAGCTTAACTTCAACTTGTAAATTGCTACAAATTTCAACAAGCGTTAAGCATCATATCGGTTTAACCAACTTGTAAATTGCTACAAATTTCAACAAGTGGTAAACATCATCTCGATTTAACCAACTTGTAAATTGCTACAAATTTCAACAAGTGGTAAACATCATATCGGTTTAACCAACTTGTAAATTGCTACAAATTTCAATAAGTGGTAAACATCATCTCGTTTTAACCAACTTGTAAATTGTTACAAATTTCAACAAGTGGTAAACATCATATCGGTTTAACCAACTTGTAAATTGTTACAAATTTCAACAAGTGGTAAACATATTCTTCTTCTCTCTGCCCCATGCATGGCTTCCATATACTCATTTTCGAACCTTATAAAAGGTTTTCAACTTGGCTAACTGCAGTCCAACCTTGTGTGTTTTCTTTTTTATCTTCTGGGGTCTGAGATTTACTCACTGAGCTCTTCTCTTTTTGGACTTAAGTGCCGAGATCTTGTCTGCTAGAATCTTGGATCTGCTCACTCAGGTTGAGCTCTTCTCTTCTCAGACCTACTCATCTAGGCCGAGATCATGTCTTCTAGGATCCGGGATTTGGAATCTTAGATCTACTCACTCAGGTTGAGCTCTTCTCTTCTCAGACCTACTCATCTAGGCCGAGATCATGTCTTCTAGGATCCGGGATTTGAAATCCGGGATCTGCTCACTTAGGTTGAGCTTTCGTCTTCTCGGGCCTACTTGCCTAGGCTGAGATCATGTCTTCTCAGATCTGGGATCCAGGATCTGGAATCCGAGATCTGCTCACTCAGGATGAGTTCTTCTATACTCGAATGTTATCTCCTTGGGAGCGCTCATGCCCCCTGTCTTTGCATTCCTTCTGGAAGGGTCTTCGTTCCTCCGCAGGTATCTATCATTCCATACCTAGAGGTCATCTTCGTTGTAGTATCCGCTTTGATCATTTGTCTTTGGTGCGTCACCTTCCTAGCCGGAGCCTTTCACTCCGTGACTCTGGTCACGAGTTTCTGTGTTTCTATTGTCCCCTTTAACGTCGAGGTTGATAGATCTCCCATTCCTAGCAGGAGCGTTGTCTCCAGTCTGATCTTTCTGTTCGTCATTGGCCATCTATTCTTCTTTCTTTCCCACAGACGGCGCCAAATTGTGTGGGTGATTTTCTGACCACACTGCCCGCTTAGTAATCAATTGGAGAGCACTGGCAGAATAGATAGCATCTGACTGACCTGCAACAGAAATATAAGAATCCCGCGGTGGTTCGTCTACCCGGGGGCACTCCGACGATCAAGTCAGTATATCTCTCAAAGGTAAATCAAGTACTAAACTCACAGGCTTGAGTATCAAAAGCATACCTTAGACCCATGGGGGTGCCTTTCTTTTATAACCAACATATACCTAGTCCCAATAGAAGCCTAACTTCTACGGACTCAGGATTACTGCTAATCTTGGACTCCCAGTAAGATTAGAATAAACTCTCTAAGAGTCTTATCTTAATACAAACCGAAGTCTTCTCTCATTCTAGGACTCTTGTTCATATCCAGGTTGAGTTCCCTCTTCATTCTAGGACTCTTGTCCCTTATCCGCTTATCTCGGTTTTCGATATCTTCAGAGGCAATCTCGGCCTAGCCGAAATGACCTCGGCACAACGACCAAGACACGTGGCACCTCGGCTGACACGTCGGCGTCACCTTACCACGTGTTGGTACTTAAAGAATATATCCCCACAAAATAAAAATAAATAAATAAATAAAAACACAAACTTCTCAATTGTGATATATGGGTTGTGCACTTTGTAAAATATACATATTGTATTATTTTTCATAGGTTTTTGATAAAACTATAAATAAAATTAAGTTTTTTGGATTATTTTGCTAAATATGTTTCCTATAGTATGAGACAATGGAAAATTGTACCATAATTTTTTTTATTCAGTTACACATGCTTTTGTTTGATAAAAGTTGCTTAATTTTTACAATATATATATATATTTTATGTAAATTGAAATTAGTTCTAAAAGTGTAATTCTTAATGTATTAATGGGAATGAGTAAAAGTAAATAAAACATAGCACTATAAAAATTTGAACTTTTTCTATAACAATTTATCAAAAATAAAACTTAATTGTTCACGTTGTAATTAAGGGTGAAATCGGTTCGGTTCGGTCGGTTTTTTCACTAGTTTTACACCGAACCGATCATTTCTGTTTTTTATATTTGTGAACCGAACCGCCCAGAAAAATGACATAAACCAGCGCGGTTCGGTTTATTACGGTGCGGTGTGGTTTTTTTCGGTTTTTTGGCCTTTTTTCCCCCCCTAATTGGGCCTCACATTTTGGGCTTATATTTCTATTCATTTTGCATAAAATTTGGGCTCAGGCCATGTAATTCCTACATAGGTTTGGGGCTTCACATATTGGGCTTATTAATATTATTTAAGTCGGTTCGGTTCGGTCCAAAAAATCAAAAACCGTAAACCGAACCGAATGTACAGAAAAACATAAACTGAGCCGTACCAAATGATTGAAAACTTAAAACACCGACCGAAAATCGTTCGGTTCAGTCGGTTTGGTCGGTCCTTTCGGTTATTCTTTCACCCCTAATTGTAATTTGATGACCCTACGTAAAAAGAAAATAGAAAATAGAAAATAAATAAGTAAAAAATTCTAAGATATACTGCAATGTGTATGGGTGCAATCCTTTGGCAACCTGCTAAAGCCTTAAAATTGTCTTTCTGATTTTGAAATTTAAAAAGGTAAAAGGCCAAAATATTCTTTGCTCAATTCATTTTCCTACTTAAGAAAAATAAATAAGTGCATTTTCTCACCAAAAATCACTATCTCATCAAAAAGCCAAAAATCTCAATTTTCTATAGGAGTGTGCACGGTCCAGATTGGTTCGGTTATGAGAAAATTCAAGAACTCAACTGATCCTAACGGTTTTATGATTTTGAGAACCAGACCAGACCGTTACACTTGTAAAAACGGACCAGAACCAAACCGAAAAAATGGTTCGATTTCGGTTTGGTTTACGGTTCCAAAAATTTTTATTTACAAGAATAAATTGTTAATATTAGCAAAATAATTACTCAAACTAATTACATTTAACTCATGATAAAAACTAATAATATTAAGACATTACTTAATATTACACATATACACCATCCTAATATCATTAAAATTATAAAAAACCAATTAATAAAAATAAAACTTGATATTTATATATATATATATATATATATCTTTTAAAATTCGGTTCGGTTCGGTTCGAACCGCAATTTTTTCATAAAATCCATTAACCGAACCGTTTTTACGATTCTCATATTTCTTAATCCGAAACCGAACTAATTCTTAATAGAACCGAACCAAACCGTATGATTCGGTCTGGTTCGGTCCGGATTACCGGTTTAAACGGATTTTTGAACAACCCTAATTTTCTACAAAAAAGCCTAAAAAATCATTTGAAAATAAGATTGTTGCATTTTAATGCAATAGTAAGAAGGCCATATTGGTTATTTTTCATTAAAAAGCTAATACATGGTTACCCAAAAAAAGGCATTATTAAATTTTTTATGAAAAAAAAAAAAAAAACCAAACAAACAAAGGCATGGCAAACAACCTAAATTTCCTTCACCCAAAAAAGCAACCTAAATTTTTTCTGCCAAAATTTTTTATAGACTATTTTTTAGCCAAAAAGTCAAATTTAAACCAACCTCCAAGCAAGGGTTGAATCAGTTGAAATGATTTTTGCTAGGGTCCAAATAAGATGAAGCATGCAAACTAAAATCTGTAATACAATGTTGTAATTGACATATCTAAGGCCTCATTTGCAACTTTAAATTTTAACAAAAAAGCTAAAAAGTCGCTATAACTTATCATATCACTCTCTTTACATATCTATACATTTTTTCGTAAAAAACTAAAAAATTACTAAACGAACTTGTTCCCAAACGAGGCCAAAATTCATTGCAAAATAGGATGCATTACAATTTACAAGAGCAATTTTCTCATATTTTATTAAACTAAAGAGAAAATTATCCTTTGGCAAAGTTATGCAAACTGGATGTTACTACCAAGGTTGCAAATCTCTGCTGCCCTCTCTGTTGACAACACTAGCAGCTTCAGCAGTCCAAAACCCATGGTTCTCATCTAGGCCCAAATCATCACTATTCTCATCATCACTACCACCACCAGCATCATCATCATCAGAATCGTCAGATTCAAATAAATCATCTAAACCATCATCATAATCATCGTCACCATCGGCATAAACACCATAATGTTCGTTATCGACTTCATCATCAACATAGTTGTTAATGATACCATTTCTCCTCTCTCGCCTCATTCGCTTCGCTTCCCTAACCAACTCCATTAGCTGATCCTTTATGACCAAAATCTCATCCTTCTCTATAAGCGAGCCCCTATCGTCATAGCCCTCCACCAAAAAGACCGAGTCCCTCTGTCCCTTCAAACTCACATAGAACAACTCCGGGTGCCTCACCAGCATCCCCCGCAACTTGTTGGGCAGCCCAAACTCCTTCCTATAATGTGTCAAGTGATCTACCAAAGTCCTCTTCTCAACCATCATTCCCAAAACCTCCCTCACCACAGCACATGCCCTCTTCTCTGACTCAATGGACTCTTTCGCTAATTGCCCCATGGGGGTTTTGTATGGGCACATATCAGGCAATTCTCCAAACTTGATCAGAAATTCACGGTGAGGTCTTTTCACATTTAGCCCCTTTCGGAGTCTCAAATGCTTGAATTTCAAAGGTCTATCTACAATTAACCCGGATTTAACTTCAAGAGCAGGTAAAGGGTTGGCTAGATGTGGGTCCCACGAGACAAGCTCAAGTGCCCGGCCATAGGAGGTGTCAACTGTCTTGAATTTGTCTGGGTGGCCATTGCAGAGCTTGGATCGAAAACTAGGTGGAAGGCCAAGATCGGGGGCAAGGTGAACAAGCTTTGATAAGAGGAGACGGTGGTGGGAGGAGAGCATGAGAAGTTTCTGGAGTTTTCCGGCCAAGGTTACAGACATGGTTGATTTGAGATTTGATTCTCGAGCCACAAGTGCTGATGCAGCTGGGGTAAGACGAACACAGAGTTGAGAGTATGATTTTGTTGCGTTAAGAGGAGTTGGGGGCGTTGGGATTGTGAAGAGTTCAAAAATTGAAGGGTAACGATGGATCATGGAGAGGAGGGAACGAGGTTTTGGTAGGGATAGATAAGAGCGGCATTTGGAAAGAATGTGGATTGGCATGTAATGCTTTGGTTTTGAAAGAAGTAGGGTCTTTAATTTTTGTACAAAACGAATCTTGTTATGCTTCACCACTTGCCTGTCTAGCGATCGATCACGAACAATTTTGAGAGATGAATGAGATACTGAAATCGAGAGACTTTTGTAGCTCCTGTTATTACCATTATTTCTATTAATGACATTAGGCTTCAATAGAGGCACGGGTGGAAGGAACTCCGAGTTGAGGGAAATCATTAGTCTATCTCTTTGAGACGACACGGATAGAGAAAATGCCATTTTTCAGGCTTGCTGAGCCCTGCACAAAATGAATGCAATGATAGAAAAAAAAAAAAAATTTGGGGACATATGGCACATCTCTCTTCTTAGACAAGACTAGTGCTACAAATGAGCCCAGCTGCTCACAAGCTCAGCTTGTTATGTATAAAAAAGAGCTCGAGCTATATTTTTAGGCTTGTTTAAGCTCGAGCTAGAATAAGCTTGGCTTATAAAGCTTGGTCTGTTTATTATTATTTAAATAATACAAAATGTGTTATATATGCATATTTAATATAGAGTAATATTTAACGAGCCAACCGAGCTTAACTATTGAGCCAAACTTTTTCTTCATTATCAAGCTTTGAGCCAAGCTCAAGCATGATTAGTGCAAACGAGCTGAGCCAAGCTCAAGCTGGAATAATTTTTGAGCCAAGCTCAAGCTTGATTTTCAAGCTCAAGCCTTGCAAAGCTCAACTAGACTTGGCTCAACTCGTTTGAACTAACATGTTTACAAACAAACAAATATGGCAGGCAAAATTATACCTGTGATGGTCTTCTTACTTGCTATACTTCCATCTGTCACAATTATAGTATGGAAATGGTGTTGGATGCAGTCAACATTGCTGCTACAATCTGTAGAGAGACAAAAATAATAATAAAATTTAATTAAAAAAACGATTAATGTGTGTTTGGGAGGAAAAAGATTGGGTACACACCTAACCTTTGCATAGTGCACAAAGTGGTTGTCCCGAGACTTAAAACTCATAACTCAAGGTTATTAGGCCAAGATTTTACCATTGACATAAAAATTTATGTCAGTAAAAAGACATTATTGGGATTTCGTGACATGAACATCAAGTGTTGTTCTATGTTGGGCATTTGATCAAACAGCAGGTGAGCACAATGGAAGTTGTCTGCTTTCTTTAATTAAATAGGGCATATGCATAGAAAGGCTTGGAATCTATAGATGAAGAAATATTCAGAAAATCCAAACTAGGATTTAAAAAACCCTTGATCAAATTTTTTTCCCCCCATCTAATTGGATTCCAAATTTGAGTAAAAGGTTCGATTTGATATGAAGTATAATTTTTTTCTTCAAAATCTTTTTAAAAAATTCCCTCTTATGATTTGATGAACATTTTATGAAAGAATTGGAGATGGCTTTTGAACACAGTTAGAAATGCAAAACCCCAAAACTCATTTTCTATGATTTGTCAGAAGCTCATGACATTGGTAGTGTGGTTTAATGAATGACAATAATTTCATGGAACTTCCGAAATCCCAAAACCAAGAAGAAAAAAAACAAAAAACAAAAAGGAAATCTCGAATTTATAACACTAAAAACACAAAAAGAAAAAAAGCTTCAATCAATGGCAAAAAAGGAATTTGTAAGGAATTCAAACAGAGTGGTCCGTGTTCTTCAGACTTGAGCTTTTTCTATGGTGATCAACCAAAACATTGAAAATAGACTCAGAGATAAAGAAGAGAAAAGGAGTTAGAGAAAAAAAAAAACACAGAGAGAGAGAGAGAGAGATAGATAAAGAGCCCATCTGACCCGTAGATGATACCGGAGAAACTTGGAATTGAATCTTGTCGCGTCGGAGCTCCGATGATCTCTTCCTCCTCTTTCTTCTTCTTCTTCTCCTCCTTCTTCTTCTTCTTCGTTTTGTCTCGCTCTAGCTTTCAGGTTCTCTCTCCTGTGGCTGTGGTTTGTTCCATTTAAATAGAATTAGAAGAAGAATTCAGAAATTCGATCCAAAAATCAGCTACAGAGAATCAAGTACTTAACTATGAAATTCCTTTAAATTTAAAGATTTGAGAATTCAACTAAGCATCCAAGTTTACCCTTCAACAACCCAGAAATCTTTAATACCAAAGAAAGATAAAACCCACAAGGAATTACGAAATTCAAGACCAGAACTGCACTTATAACTCCATTTAAAAACAATTGGAAAAGGAATTTAGAAACTCGATCCCAACAACCACCAGCTTGAGAGAGAGAATACAGATAAAAGAATCAAGAACTTAACTATCAAATTCCTTAAAATTTCAAGATTTGAGAATTCAACCAAGCACTCAACTTTACCCTCTAACAACCCAGGAAGTTTTGATACCACAAGGAATGGGGAATTAAAGACTAGAACTGCAATTCTAATTCAACTTTAAAGATAAATAGAATCGAGCAAGAATCTAAACAAGATTTAGAAATTTGATTCCAAGAAACAACACCAGAAAGTAAGAAAGAAAACAAAGTGTGTGGGTGAAAGAGACAGACTACACATAAAGAATTAACAACTATCAAAATCTGTAAAATTTAAAGATTTGATAATTCAATTAAGTAAATAAATACCTTACAATTCTTTGCTGCAAATTGGTTAAAACGCCTCCAACACTGAGATTGTAACCTGATTGAGTGTAGTCATGGCCTTGATGGTGTAGGAATCAAGGAAAGGAACCCAGTAGAGAGAAATCAAAGAATAGAAAATCAAAGCGAAAGTGATAGAAGAAAAAAAAAACCCTAGAAGGAGAAATTGAAGAACACCCAGAAATGCTATCGGAGAGAGAGAGAGCTGCAGCCGGAAAAGAAATGAAAGGGAGGAGGTAGAGCACCAGACTATCTAAATTTTATCTTAAAATATTATTAAAAAATTTATTTATTTTTTAATCTTAAAATTCATTTTCTATTTGAAGGGTCAATTTTTTCATCTACTTTCTAATAAATTCTCTAATATTTCTTTATTCTGTTAAAATAATATTTTTAATTATTTAAATATTTTTTTAATAATAAAATAATAAAAACACATGCAACATCACAGCACGTGCTAACAGCATAGGAAAGTAAACAGTAGCGGACGATCGGCCAGTCGACTGATCAAGTTAATTTTAAATATTTTTCTTATTTTGTTTCAACAATAGTAGTTTGGAAATGGACTTTAATATATGGAATTAGGAATGGATTCGAGTAATAAAATTTAGAGGCGTTACAAATGAGGTGTCTACAATGAGCATATTTTGGTAATGAATCTCATATCAAGAATTAATAAAGATCGATTTTTGATCAGGTGAGCGGAGATGCTCAATTCATGACCTTCCCCACTCAAGCCTTAGTTCTCGAACCAAAGCACTTTGGCTGTGACGAACTGTGGCCTTCATTTGGCACGAGTCATGGTTTCCTAGTTTCCCCAAAAAGATTAGGTGGCGATTCTAAGTTTGGTGACGTAGTCTCCGTTTGATGTTTCTAGTGATCAGTTAATTTTCTATGAATTTTTCAGATTTAGACCCTCACTCGTTTCATATTGCACACTTTGTGAGTCAAACGGGAGGGTGAGCTGTGGAGGTCCCATATTTGCCCCTGTTTCCATCTGTTTGTACATTGCCTGTGTGCATCATCTTGGATATGTTTGTACCATTTCATGAGTGTGTGCCCTAACTTGCATTTGTTTGTACCATTCCATGTGTCACACCCCACTTTTTATTACCCGAATAACATTACCATATCTATTAACATAAATCCATTTCCACTAAGAATATGCAGAACTATACACACATTACATCCATAATAAATGAAAGTTCTCTCAATCGTACATATACGGAATGCAATAGGAATTACATTTAAATAAAATACCCATAGAGTTACATCTTTACATTAAAGTAAGGGTATAACCTTTTTACAACAATGGCATTCCGCCACGTGGCCAACAATTTAAGAAAGATCAC